CCGTGCCAGTGTGGGCAGGGAAAAGCCACTTGCTTGAAGATTTGTAGCTATCATAATTCCCTGTCAAAAGCTGTCACATGGAATTCTGGATTGGCTTTCCTTGGTCCTGGAGGTTGGTGAAATTCAGCTTCACTGAACTGGTATTTGGCCCCTGACTTTGTTCTGGTGTCAAGTGACTGATGTTTGTGCCTAACTTCTGTCTAACACTGTGGCCATCAAGATCATCTCCAAAAAGAAGACACTGGAAGAAAATCTCAGGAAATTCCTGCCCCACTGGATGCAGGCAGGGTGAGAAGGTGGCAGTATCAGGGGGCAGCAGGAGAAGCCCCTGAGCATCATGAAGTTCTGCAGGGCAGAGGGCAAATCTGAGGGTCTCCAGGGCATCAGGGGCTAAGGGGAAATGGGAGCACCCTTTGGGGAGCTTCATGGGCAGCAGTGCTACTGGGTGGCTCAATGGGGCAGGGTTTTTGAGGTTCAAAGGAGCAGGGAGTGGTTTGGGGAGTCCTGGGCATTGAGGGCACTGTGAGGCAAAGGGCAGGCATTCCAAGAGGCAGGGAGTTCTTGGGAGCTTTGAGAGGATGGAGGCGTGGTGGGCACTTTGTGGGGGACTGACAAGGGTCAGGGGAGCAGCGGTGGGCAAAGGGGATGGGGGTGCAAGGCAAAGGGGAGCCAGCGGGGGGCAGGGCCGTCCCATGCCAAGCCCGTGTGTCCCCGGATCCCGAAGGTCTCATCCCGCTGAGCCAAGGCTCAATAGGAAAAATTCATTATCTCCTCGTGGAGCCGGCCCCATCGGGGAGCATCCTAGAGCAGGGATGCTCCCAGCTGGGGAATCGTGTTCCCCAGCCCAGGTAGTGAAGGACTTCCTGGAAGCCCCTCTTCATCTCCACATCTCTGACTGCTGCACCGCACCCTTACCTATTTATTCTCCCTCCACACCACTGCTTACCAGTCCAGGCTCTCCTCCCCTCTCCTCATTTACCCACAGCTCCTTCCTTGCCTCCTGACCTCTCCTGCCCCACACCTTCCATCTGCCCCTGCCTGCCCACAGCACATGGTGCCTATTCTCTGCAGAGGGTTAAACCTGGAAAACATTTTCCTGGACAGTGAGGAAAACATGAGGGTCCCCATCTCCAGATTTTCCAGAAGGGTGGTACTGCAGAATGCCAGTGGGGAGTCCCTCGAGGTCTCGAACATCAGGGATTGCCCACCAAGGCAGCACTGAGCCAGAGCTTCTGCCAATCCTATACTTCTGCACGTACTGATATCCGGCAGGAGAAGCCCTGTGACCTCTTCCTGGCAAACACATGGAGTCCTGAGGTCATCTTCTGCACCCCGCTCTGGGGCTACAAGCCTTGTTATGCCACCAGCCTGCAGCACCTGCTGTGCCAGACCCAGCCGTCCTGTCTTGCCACAAAGTCAGCCCCTGACCTAGGACTGCAAGGTGGGGAGCTGGGAGCAGCTTGGGATAGGGAGGCATGTGGATTCTCCTGCCTTCAGGAAGGATGCATTCAGCATGAAAGGATGGCTCCATCTTCCATCTGAACTCTGCATAATTTTCTCTACATGGTCCAGCTAGGAGACATTTGGGCAAGCAGATGAAAGCTGTCCTAGCAGGTCTCTCTGCATTTCCAGAGCCTGCCTTCAGCAGCACATTGCAATGTCTGCTCTGCCTCAATTCACCTCTCCTTGGCTTTCATTCCCCTTTCAAGTACCATTTCAAAGAAGATGGCTCTGCCCCTTTTCTGATTTCTCTGCTGCTTTGAATATCCTTGTGCTCTCCAGAGACTTTTCTCACAGTGGTTTCCTAAGCAGAACTTTCTCCTGGTCTTTCCAGGTCCCTTCAGTATCTCCTGCTCTGGTTTCTGTCCTTTGAGATTTGTTTGAGCTCATCCACAGCCAAACACAGCTTTGATTCCTTCTCTTGAAAGTGTTACTTAGGATCAATGTTCATTTGCTGTCCTTTGCTTTCCATCAGTCTTCTTCATCTCCAGATCAGACTGGTAAATCCAGGTGCAACTGCCTCTGAAGAATACAGGATAGGAAGGAGCTTGACACTGGTGTAGTCCAGCAGGCTGTATCCTCGCCCCATGGTCTGTCTCCAGACCTCTTTGGGATCACTCCACACATACAGAGACTCTTTGGAATGCGTCCTTGCCCATAGCAATAGTTTCTACTAATGCTCTCTTGTAATCTTTGTTCATGCCTTGAGCTAAGAAATCCCAAATTCTTTCCCAACCTTTACTCTGACTTGATTTTCCTGTTCTTCCTGTACATGTTTTGTAGAACTACATGAAGTTCCTGGTAAGAAATCCTGTGTCAGCACATTTCCTCAGCTGTTTTGCATTGTTCAGATACAATATTTGTTGACCACAGATGGCAGAATTTCACCCTGGGTTGCTTATAACAGCAGCAGAAGTAAGGTTTGTAGTGGACTATTGCCTCAACTATCTCTCAAGTTAACCAGAATTCCACCATGGAGGTTAATTTGGAATTCCACCATGGGGGTTAATTTGGAATTCAGAATGGATCTAGTGCATTGATTTCTGGTGTGTGTGTGTGGTAATTTCTGAGGATAACTCACAGAAAGGCCCACTACTCTCTTTCAACAGATCAGAAGGGCAAGTACTGATCCCAAATGGAAGAACTTCTCCATACTGGTGGGATGACTCACACAACTGGAGTGCTGCAAGGGGTTCCTATAAACTCTTCATCCTGGAGAAAAGGAGGCTCAGGGGAGATCTTGCTGCTCTCTACATATTCCTGAAATGAGATTATAGTGAGGTGGGGGTTGGCCTCTTCTCCCAGGTCACAAGTGATAGGACAACAGGTAAGAGCCTCAAGTGCCATTTTCCTAGGGGAGGTTTAAAGTAGGAAAAATTCATCACTGAAAGGGTCAGGCTCTGGAATGGACTGCCCAGGGTGGAGTCACTATCCTGGAAATGTTCAAAGAATGTCTAAACGTGGCATCTGGGGACATGGTGAACATGGAGATGCTGAGCTAGTGGTTGGACTCAGTGATCCTGAGGGTCTTTTCCAACCCTAATGATCGTATGGTTCTACAATTCAATATTCTGTGTACCAGCAGCACAGAGGACATCACACAAAAAAAAAAAACAACAAAACAAAAAAACCCCAAACAAACAAACAAAAAACCAAACCAAACCAAAAAAAAAAACCCACAAAAAATCCCCAAAAAACAAAAAACAAACAAAAGAAAAAAAAAAAAAAAAAAAAAACCAAAAAGAAACAAAAAACCAAACCAAAAAAAAACCCCAACCCCCCCCAAAAAAAAACCACCCCAAAAACCTAGTGATTCCTTAATCTTAAATATCTTCTATGATGAGAGAGACCAAGCAAGCACCTGTTTATACACCTATGTAATTAAGGAAGGGAAGCATTTAGATATGCTGAGGTTAGATCAAGGGCTCCACAAGAAAATGCTTGTTTCTTTCTAGCACAGAGAAAAAGCCATCTGGTATTAAGACTCACCCCAAAAAGACTGACTTGTAAGTAATTTTCCTTAGTGGTCCCCAGTAGTAATCTTCACTTTGGGGCATTGAAGAGGATTTATGACAGCTGAGTCTATTCCCCTTGTTTCAAAGCCTGTGGAGCAGCTTGCAATTCCCTCCTCACAGCACTACAATGTCACTCCCAAGCCCCATACAGCCTTTGCTTTTGGAGTGGCCACCACTCATGGTGTTGTCACCAGACAAAGCTCCTGACAATGCTCAGTTGCAGAACTCAGTCTTCCCAATGAGACCTAGAAAATGGAACAAAATCAAATGGACAAGAACACAGCCCTTTGCTGCTCAAAGCATGCAAAAGTACAACCAGTCGTTTTGAAAGCCTGGCTGAAAATTTTCACAATTATTATCTTATCAAGACAAAATTTCTAAAAATCTAAATGTTAGGAGAAGCTTGTGGAAAAAAGATAAAACACATATCACTTAATTACACATTGCTTTCTGCTAGTTATCTGTGACTGCTGGATAGTACAGGCTGGTATTTTAATAATTGCTTCCTCCTTCTTGGTTCAGTACCTTCTGGGATTATTTAATTTATGCATTTCTCTGGAATCTGGGGTACAGGATCACTCGGCAACAATTCAGAAGAAATGCTTCTCATGCTAATTATTTTGCACACCCACTCTTTCTCTTCTTATGGATCTGTGTCTTTCTTAGCCTCGTGATGGCCACAGATGTAATTCCCTGACAGAATTACATTTTACCCAGTTGCAGTTGATTACAGGACAATTGCTAAGTTGGCTTTATTAATTTCATACTTCCTTTGGGAGTTCTACCAGGTGTCTTTGTGGCCCATAAATTGTGTCCACTATAAGCGGGTGTCCTTTTCCCAAATTTTTGTTAATGCCTCCCTAGATCTGAGATCACTGAAGCACCTCAAGACCTAAACTTTAACAAGGCAGTTAATTTTTCTAACACATGAAAAATCAGCTTTCTTGCTGACTAGGCTTAAAAGTATAGGAAGATCAAACATCTAAGACTTGCTTTTTTAAGAAAAATTTGACATATTCCACACCTTGCAGCATCCGCACAGAGCCAGGGAAGCTCTGTACCTTCCTTGCCTTGCCTGTGTGGTGCCTCTTTAGGCAGAAGTCAAGTGAGGATGTGCTTTCCAGTGGTATCATAGCACTTCTGTGCCATCCCAGAGCCTCCTCCCTGTCCCCGTTCCACTGCCGAGTCTATCAGCAGCGGGGCTCTGACTCTCCCCACATCCCTGAACCAGCCGTGCCGTATCTCCGTGCCCAGGGGCGTATGGCCGCCAGACCCTGGTCTCACGGCCCCACCGGACCAGGCGGGGCGCTCTCTCACGGCTCTGTCACGGGCCCGCAGAGCTCCCGCCCTCAGCGGCGCCGCCCCCGGTACCGCGGGCCCGCCCCGGCCCACAGCGAAATGGCGGCCGGGCTCGTGCCCGCAGTAGAGATGGCGCCGCTGCCGCTCCGAGGCGGGGATTGGCGGGGGCGGTGGAGGGGCGGCCGGGTAGTGCCGGGCAGGGCGCGCGGCGAGTGAGCGCGGCCCCGCTCCGCTGCCGCCGTCTCCGCCGCCGCCGCTGCCGCCCCCGCCCCGGCATGAGGAAACGCAACGAGTCGGTCACGGTGGAGCATGAGCGCGCCGCCGCCGCCTCCGCCGCGCCCGGGCCCCTCGACAAGGGCTGTAGCCTGAGGCGAAGCCTGCGCCTGCCTGCCTCCGCCGCCGCCGAGGGCATGAAGCGACCGCTGGGCAGGTGAGCGCCGCCGTCGCTCCGCCGGGCTTTGTTATCCCTGTGTCACCGTCTCGGGGGCACCGGGAGCCTGCCGGGGAGCGGGACGGCGGCGGGGCTGGGCTTTGCGAGCAGAGGGGAAGGGCCGAGGAGCCCGCGGGACGGACAGGTACGCGGGCCCGGGATGTTGCCCGGCTCAGCCCCGCTTCCCCGGATTTTCCCTGGCTTTCCCTGGTTTCCCTGTGTGCCAGGAGGGCAGGTGCCGGCCCCGCGCTGCCTTCCGTTGTCGGGGCAAAGGAGTGCTCGGAGAGCGGGGCGGTAGCGGGACCGGCCAAGGATGGGAGCGGCTTGGTGTTCGTACCTGGGCGCCGCCGCCTCCAGCACCCCGTGGAGCAGGCAGTTCTCCCGGAAAAAAAGGAAAAAAAGGCTATCACGAAATCCTTCCATCAGAGAGCGTATGTGGAGCAGCAGGGCCCTGCAGGTAGGATGTCTGCGGGTTTGGGAAGGAGCTGGTGGCTGTCAAAGTGATCTCTGTGCCCTAAATGAATCAGATTTAGGGGTCAGTAGGAGAAGCTGGCACGCGTGGCTGTTGGAGGGAGTTTAGCCGTGGCTTTTTGCCAGGTATGCTAACGTTTTAAACGTTCCGTGCATATTTATAGTGGGGAAATGGTTGTGTACCTTTCTAAAAAGACTGTAATAGAAGGTGCTTATCACCTGGGCCCTTCGTCGTGCTAGATTTTGGAGGGATGCTATACACGATGGAGACTTGCCTCCCTGGCCCTCTGCAGCTGCGAGTCAAGATGCAAGCTTTTAGTTTCCCCTAAACCAGTATGGTGGTGTTCTTTGTGTTTTGGAAGTGTGAAGAATGTGTAAAATAGCTGTGTGGTTTGGGTAGCTGAAACCGAATTGCTGTGCTTCAGCAATACATCAGCCAAATTTAAAAAAAAAAAAAAGGTGCTTATCAGTGCATTTCTAGTAAATGAGCTATTGTGGATGTTTCTCTGCTAAATTTTCTGAGGATTTTTTTTCTGTTCTCATAGACAAAATTAGCATTTGAAAAGAGCCTGTGGATACTTGTCATGTTCAAAGACAGAGGCTTTAAAATATGATTTCTCATATTGGGTAATAGCTATTTAATTTTGTGCCCTGGAGGTAAACCTTTGGGATGCTGTCACTGCTCTGTACATGTTATGACAAGCTTTTGGTAATTGAAAATGGCGCTGAGTTGATCTCTCAGTTTCCATGACTGTGCAGTGGATCAAACTGCGACAGTGCTCTGCTTTTATAACATTTTGAAATTTGGCACATCTATTCTCTTTGTCCAAGTGGATGTCTCCTAGACCAGTGGCACTCGAATGATGGCTTGCTGGCTTCTTCAGCATTATGAATGGCACTCAAGCACCTTCTACTCAAATGGAAATGCTCAGTCGGTGGTGAGCATTGAGGAAGCCCTAAGAGCACTGAGTGCAGGCTGTTGGCTTGGTCTGGCAGGCAGGTGCTTTGTGGATCCCAGACACAGCACAGCTGTATTGGGAGGGCCAGGCTAAAAATAGGGAAAGCACATCCTGTCTGCGAAAAATATTCTCGCTTTTATTTCTCCATTTACACATTTGAAAATGGTCAGCAGTCAAGCTTTCCTGGGTTTTCTCCATGTTCCGCTTTTGAAGCCTGTTTCAGAAATTCCTGAAGTCCTACATGGATTCTGGCCCTTCCTCCCTGCTTTCTGCCCCCCACCTCCCCCTGTTCTTTTTGGGTCAGGTACTGTATTCCACACAGCAGTGTTTCTCAAACTCGTGACATTGTAGGAAAATCTTGTTTGAAGCTGGCTTTTCCTTTTCCACATTTTGAAATACCTGTATTTCTGTGATGGATTTTTTTCTTTCATGCTGTCCTGTGTTGTCTGCCTTTCTTACTGACTTTCAGTGGACCTTCTCTGACTGTCTCACCTTGTGAGCCTTCAGACAGTGGTTTGCAGGCAAAGTGTCTGTGTCTGCCAGTACCTTCCAGCAGTGCTTTTTATGGGATAACAAACATACTGCTGAATCTGAGCGTGCAGGAAGGGGAGGTCCAGGCAGAAGAAGGTATGATGCCCAGAGATAAGGTTCTTGTCCAGACCAGTCACCCTGAGTCAGGCCAGACAGTCTTTTAGCTCCATATCCCTGCTTTGGTGGACAGCAGGGAGTGTTTAAGGAAGAACATGGGGGTATGCATGCAGTGACCTCCCCAGGGCAGTTACCCTGGCTGTGGTCAGTTATGTGGCCAACAAGTTGCTGTTACACCATCTAGATCATCATATTTTAATATGCAAGGTCATGCTGTTATTGCAGCATTCCTTATAGGGCTGGAAATAAGAGTAGTGTTTGATTGCTGTTTTCAATGGGCTACATCAGTTTTACTCCCCAGCTTGCCAAAGCTGTAAGGTGAAAATTCAGCTGCAAGGTTTCTTGGGTGGTGGAGGTGGCATAATATCTGAAATTGGAGATTTGTACCACAGCAGACTATTCTTAGCTTTCTCCTTGATGAAATAGTTAAAATCAACACATGAGTGCTGTGTTAGAGGGGAAGCTGGGCTGTCTGCATTCCGTGCCGCTGTTCTTTAGCCTCTGCAGGCTTGGGGAAGCAGAAGCAGCACATAGCTTTGGCTTCATCCTGTGGGTTTCCATCTCTTATTTGTAAATGATACAAGCCACTGGCTAGGAAGGCAAACCAATCCCCGGCAGAGTGGAGTGGCTGCGTAGCTCTGCAGCCAAGGGCTGATCATGTGGCATATTCCATGGGTCAGGAGCGCGGCCGGGGGGGCTGCAGAGGCAGCTGTGTCTGGAACTGCAGCACTGACCTGCAGGCTGTGGAGCAGCAGCAGGGCTGCTGTGTGCCCTTCTCCAGCACAGCTTTCCCTCCTCAGCAAAGGCTAAATAGCACCCTGGGTGATGTTTGTGGAATACAGTGCTGGATTACTACCGGCAGCAGTTTGTTCTTACGGCAGTATTTTTGAATTTTACCAGCACTGTGTTTGCCCCTCAGTTTTTGTTCGGTCGTACCATCACAATGTGCTCATTCATCCAGGAGCTGAAACTCATTCTAAAGAGGTGGCTGTGCATTTTGAGTGGCAACCAAAAAGTGTGTGCGTGTGCTTCAAACTGTAATGGAGATGGATATCTGATAAATAACATTTATGTGGCTTTGGCCAGTGCGTAGTGCAGTCGGTGTGGCTTTTCTTAAGTGGTTTACAACGAGAAATGTACAAATATAGGTATTTCCATTTTCTTCCATAGATAGCAGTAATATCTACTATGATGTTTACTTAAGCACTTTATAAGTTGCTCCTTTAAAAGTACATGAATTTTTTTTTTACAGGAGCTGTTTTGTCTGAAATTATTAAATGCAATAATGAAGTAAATAAATAATAAGCAGTGCTTGCTTTTCCTGGTATATGTGTTTTGTGTGGATGGCCATTCCTCTAATATTTCTGTTGTGAGGCGTTTTCCAGGTGACAGTGTTGGAAGTACTAGCTTGATATTAGGGTAGCATTGTGTTTTGGGTGCTTGCTGTGACTCATTTTTGTGGTCGGTGGCTGTGATGTTCTGAGGAAACATGTTTGAGCAGCCATAGATGTGGAAAACCTTTATGTGGGAGTACAGAGAACAGAGAAAATCAAATTAGCTTAATACTGGCATTAGATACCAGAGCAAATTCTCCTATCTTATTTCTGCTGAACCCTGATCTTGGTGATAAAAGGTCACATGCATGTTACCCTTCACTTCTGTGACCTCATGGTTATCTGATCCTCATTTAATCCCAATCAATAGCCAGACTAGAGGTGAAGTGTGAATTTTGCCATTCTCCAATTCTCCTACAAACACTTGTTTGCTACAAATGTTCTTGTCTCTCTCCATGCTGTGGAGCAGTGAAGTGCTTCAAATCCCATGTGTGTGAGCTTTTTTCCTTGATACTTTTGTGCTCTGCCTTGCTGGAGAAGCTACTGTCCTTTTGTCTGTCCCTGCTCCCTTTGCTGCTGGAGACCCCCCTGCTGCTGGCACAAGTCCCTGCAAGGGGCAGTTTTGGGACCCTTCTGCTGGTTGTCCAGCCTGTGCACCCCACAAGCTGGATGTTTTTGGGCTGACACTACAATTTGGTGCAGTTTCAGTTCCACTGTAGTCAGCCTTGTTCTTGTTGGTTGCGGTGCAGCTTGCTCTTGGGAGGCAGAAGGTTGCTTTTACAGCATTTCCTGGGTATTTTATGAAAATGCAGAGAGGTGCTGAAGGGAAGAGGGTGCAGCAGCCTGCTCGTGTCTTCCCCTCTGATGCAGCTGAATTTTCCTGGAACAGTGAGTGTGCTCAAGCGTGTCAAATGCGATGTGTGGTGACCCTTGGTGCCATCCTGCCCCAGCAGCTGAAGTGCTTTGTGCCTTCCCATGTCTCTTTGGATTTAACCAGTGGGATCTTCCCTCTGACAGAAAACTTGGCCTTCTCTGTTATCTGCCCCTCTGTCCTCTGAGTGCCCCATCCTTATATCTCTAGACCTGGCCTCCTTTCTTCTGATGTTACTTTTTTAGAAGCATTTGCAGAGTCTTTTATGATTATTCCAGTCTGTTCCATTGTAGCAGAGATGACAAATACTTGAATTGTTCTCCTGCAAGTTTTCATCAATATATTTAAGGGTTTTTTTTTCCTCAAGTGAATTTTATGCTATTGTCTCTCTTAATTGCTGTCTTCAGGTTAAACCAGTTACTTGTCAGGGCTTTCAAAAGAGGAAGGAGGCTGCCTGCATAGAGATATTTCATCAATCATGCTGCTTTTTCACCAATTCCACCTTCCTACTGGGTAACTGGCTCTATTTCAGTTTTTCTTGAGCAGAGTTCACAAAGGAGCTGTGAAATGGTTTCCAGTTGCTTGCCTGTTCTTTCTTTCATAGTAAATACAGGTTGAATCACAGTCCCTCCAATGGGTAAAATAGGAAAAAACAGTTTCCTTTGTGTGAGGACTTTTTTTAGCATGTGGGGCTCTTTTTTTGTTGTTGGTTGTATT